AAAATTCAAATATAGACTTGTTTTTACATATACTCAATATCATATCAATCAACTTGACTAACACTTTTCTTGGCTTTTAAAGGTTTTTTTTAAACTCTTAAAAATTCGTTTGAAACATGCAGATATTATAGCGAAATCACTTTCCTTCAATCGGCCATTTAGTTTGTTTCCATATATGGAATAGAATCGGGGCCCCAAAACACAGGGATCCCGCAAGTATGTCAACAATTTAGTGATAAGCCTTTTTATGATACTGGCGTAGTAATTTAACCTGCATTAGAGCTGACGCACTTTATCGGTGCAACTCAATATGCAAAATCTTATCATTGTAATTATACTAATTCCACCACAGGGAGCCCAAGCAGTGACTTTGAACCTATAATAGTTAAAAATAAAATTTTACTYAAAAAAATGGTCTACTTTTATTTTATTCAGTGTCACAATGCATTATAAATGGGTTTTAAAAAATATCCCCTACCTATATATATATAGTGACAAGGGAGGAGACTCCGCTCGAAATTCTCCCAAAAATGAGCCAAAAACGAACGACAAAAATCCTTTTTTCGCACCGAAATTAAATAAAAACGAAGTTTTATCTGAGACAGCATATGTAAATCAACGTTTTTTACCTTATTTTGGACGAGAGGCATCGATAGAAACGCTTTTTCGGGCAAAAAAATCCAAAAAAGTGTCCCCAAAAATATCCCAAACYCATCMGTGWCGATGGTWKYCTGAGGCCACTTGCGCGCGCAAAACTGAAAACTTGACAAATTTGGAGACTATATGGGGGAGCCACTCGGGACAGTTTCACCTGTCACAATGCATTAAGTAAAGTTTTATTTGTAGCTATTAGGTTCAAAGTCACTGCTTGGGCTCCCTGTGATTCCACTGTTAACATCTTTTAGAAGAAATTAGTATGATTTGTTTGATAGATTAAGTGCATCTACTCCAGAGAAGGCAGTTATTATAACTGCTTGGTACTAACTAGATCGGGTCTAATGCACCTTAAAGAATCCCAACCACCCACAATACAGCGCGCGCTCGTGTTATTGTCTACATACGTTTAAATGCGTCAAGTATACAATATGTTGTAGTTTGATAGTACCTGTGAGGTACGTAGTTAAAGGTATTTCTGTACAAACTGAAAGAATGGAAGACGATTCGCGCTCACGTTAAGGGTGTACTGACATATCCGTTGCTAGGGAAATTCAGTAGTTCTCTAAAATGACTAAAAAAGGAAAATCGCTTTCATATTTGGTATTTAGCCTTACCAAAGAAATATAAGGTATTCCATGACGTTGTGGTGTGACGTCATCACGTGACGTCATAAATATGAAAAAAGGCTATAATTTCATCAAGCAAAGTAAAATAAACGATTTAAAATGGATGAAAAGAATCTTCATATCTAAGCCCGTAAATGCAAGCATGCGTTTTTAGAATGATGGCCAAATAAGCTTTTTATGATTTTTTAAATCCCATAAATAAGCGAAAAATGCCAATAACTTTCGTATTTCTTAATTTTTCGGCAAACCCATGCTTGGTTCTGAAAAGGAGGCTGTAAAGAACATAAAAACCTAAAAAACACGTCCATTTGATGTTCCGCGAGCCGAAGATTTTATTTTTTAAATGATGCCACACATTTTATGTAAACAAAAATATTTCCGGCGGAAGTAAAAAATTATCCCGCCATGAAAACGCGCGCGCACGCTCTTCTCCGATTGGCTGCATAGCAGCCAGGTCGTATAGCAACGGATATGTCAGTACACTCTTAAGAGTACTTTTTTTGTCATGCGTCATGCGTCCAACTTGGAGTCGTAAACTTGAAAACACTAGCCTAATGTTTTCATGTTTACTCGCGCATGTCATCCATTGACAGTGTCCCGTCCCTTTAAGTTCAAATATATTTGAATACCTGGAGTCTCAAGCAATGCTCATCTTCACCTCCAATGAGACTGACAACCTTTTTATATTCCCTGAGACACTTTAGTGGTAGCGGTAGACGCGATTCGTCGCCCAGAACTGAGGCGGGAATGAAAACGAGTACCAACAGATTTGTAGCATGCATTATGAAGTTGCCCACTGTTTTATCTGATAAATTGTATTATAAAACTCATTAACAATTAATTAACTATTATT